CGTCTTGGAATCCACCAATATCCTTGTGCGACGGCTAGCCGCAGCTGGAGATTTTATGGCGATTAATCCACATTATTTTCCCGACAGACTGATATCAGTTTGTCGGGAATATAATGAGCCCTGTCGCATCAAAAATCGCAAGGAAATGAATTGCCTCGCGACAAAATCAAAGTTCTTTTCACTTCAGCGACATGATGGGCGCAACGACATTGTGCTCATTATTTTCCCGACAGACTAAGAAAATCGTAAAATTTTGAATTTTTAACGCTGCAGAGCCTTTGAATATCTAGTACACTTCCGTATGTGGTCAGCCGAAGAATTGCCCCATAGCCGCAGGCATTTTTCAGAATTCAGTCCAATTTTTCCAGATTTCCCAAAAATCTCATTCTTTTCTGCATCCAAACCCGCTGAAATTTCGAATTTCAATGCTCCCAAGCCTTTGGAAATTCCGCATCCTTTCGCATACGGTCATCAGACAAAGAATCATCCCATAGCCTTAGGCAATCTTAAACATTTTGCCCGGTTTTCCCAGGTCTCCCCTCAAATTCCCCCATTTTTCCCAAATTTTTTTCATTTCGGCCTCAAATCCGCTGAAATTTCGAGTTTCAACGCTGCCAAGCCTCTGAATATATAGCAAGGTTCCGTCTACGGTCATCAGACGAAGAATTACCCCATAGGCGTCGGCATTTTCCAAAATTCAACGCTTTTTTCTCAAGCTTCCCTACAAATTCCCCAATTTTTCCGCAAGCTTTTTTTCTGCTTCAAAGCCGCTGAAATATCGAGTTTCAGCGCTGCAAAGGCTTTGAATAGTTAACAGGCTTCTGTATACGGTCCTCTGACAAAGAATTACCCCCATAGCCCCCGGCATTTTTAAAAATCTAGCTCAATTTTCCCAGGTATCCCCCAAATTTTATTCTTTTCTGCCCCGAAGCCCGCTGAAATCTTCATTTGCAACGCTTCCAATGCTCTGAATATCTACCACACTTCTGTATACGGTCGTCAGACAAAGAATTATCCGATAGCGGCCCAAATTCCCCCACAAATTCCTCATTTTTCCCCAAATTTCACCCCTCTCTGCCCCGGTCCATTCCACAGCCCGCGCCCCACGGTTTTTGCAATTTCCATGCTCTCCCCCCTAAAGCAATTCCCCACTCTGCCCAAGTTGGGGGTCATCGCTTGCGGCGAACCACACCCAAAATTGGGTCCACCGGAAGTCGTTAGACGGCTTCGAGCGTCTGCCCTTTCTCCCGTCGATTGCGGACATGATCAAGCGGTCATAAGGAAGCGAACCCGGTGAAACTGCAGCAAAACCCATTTCGGAGGCGAAATTTACAAATATTCTTTGTCAATTCTTGACAGTCGCTGTAAAAAAAGCATGAAGTTTTTGTGAATTTTTTATTAAAAAGCCAAAAAATGGTTTTTTTTCAGTCTGTCGGGAAAATAATGAGCACTCTGTTGCATCGAAAAAATCAACTTTGCGCGACGACTAGCCGCAGCGGGAGATTTTGTGACGGGGAGACGCGATAAATCCACATTACTTTCCAGACAAACAAAGATCAGTTTGTCGGGAAAATAATGTGGATTTTTCGCGAGTTTGTATCGCCCATTATCGCAGTGACGAGGCAAGACATTTTTCTGCGATAAATCCACATTATTTCCCCGACAAACTGATATCAGTCTGTCGGGAAAATAATGTGGATTTGTCGCGGCTTGGAATCCCCTATCATCGTTTAGCGACGGCAAGCTGCGGCCTGAAGATTTGAGGCGAGAATTTTTTATACGGCAATTCCACATTATTTTCCCGACAAACTGCTACTAGTCCGTTCTTAAAGCCGCGGAAATGATTTTTTGCCTTTGCACTGTGCAGAAAAACCCAAGGTGAAAACGACAACTCAAAAAATTTATTGCACCGTGCAAAAAAGCGACAAACTGCACAGTGCAAAGAGAACTTTTGTTTTTGCACAGTGCATGTCGCCAAAATCACTCCAGCGACTTTAGAAACTGATTTGTATCAGTTTGTCGGGAAAATAATGTGGATTTGTCGCAGCAAAATGTCTCGTTCCGCCGCTGTCGGCGCCAAATCTCCCGTCGCGACAAGCTGACGCAAAGCGATGATAGGCGACCGAAGTCGCGACGACTCCTCATTATTTTCCCGACAGACTGAAATAGACTTTGCGCCAGCTCCCTCCACATTCCAATTTTACACTTACACTTGTCGCGCGGCGGCCGGTAATCGAGTCAATTTCCGTCGCCGGAAACCCCCCAACAATTAAGGGAAGCGAGTTTAAAGCAGTGGCTAACAGCGACCCCTCTTTTTTTTTGTTAGTTTGTTCAAACCCTCTGCAAACGCGAAGAAACCGTTGAATTGTAAAGTTTTCAAAGGTCTCCGGCGATGATTGATGGGTGCTGTGGAGGCACCAGACTGGCTACTGGCAGCGATTTCGCATGCGGATTTTCGCGGTGGAAGAGAGCAATTTTACAGCGGGAATGCTCAGAGGGCGACGTGCAGATTTTGATGAAACTTGGCACAAATTTAGATCGATTGTTCACTAGATATATATGCGATTTTCAGCTCACGTTTTGCGGAAGTGATCGAGATTTTTGGTCCGAAAGTTGGGAAAAATGTGAACTTTTTTTTGCGATGTTTGCCGCGAAAAGTTGCATGTCTATTTCTACCGTAGAGCACAATATTTCCACACAAAATCAACTTTTTTCCCGCGAAACTGGCAAAGATACAGCCAAAAAGAGTTTTTTCTCTGACCGCTCTCCGCATTTCGGGTACTCTCTCGGCTGCAAGGATCGTTGAATATCTCGGCTGCTCCTCGAAAATTCAAGCTAAAATCTTTAGGAATTAATATTCGGTATATGCCTGACGTACGTGCAAAATTTAAAGAAAATCAGAGCATCACACATAGGGCACATACCAGGGGATAATAAGCGTTTAGAAGACTTTTTAGAGCCAAAAAGGGGGGTTTAGAAAGGAAGGTAGGATACTTTAGCAAGTTCAAAAATATAGTTAGATGTCAAGATTCGCAAAAAATGTCACATTTTTCCCAATTTTCGGAGTAAAAATCTCGGTCATTTCTGCAAAACGCGAGCTAGAAATCTCACATATTTCATGAACAAAATTGATCTAAATTTGTGCCAAGTTTCATCAAAATCTGCACGTCGAACTATGAGCATTTCCGGTGTAAAATTGATCTCTTTCCCCACGAAAATCGTCATGTGAAATCGCTGGCAGTAGCCAGTCTGATGCCTTCATAGACTCATCAAAATTCAGAGGTACATTTCACGGGTACTTTCCTTGATTATACTTGATAAAAGAGAACTTTTTGATGACTTAAATAATCGCTGAAAACTTCAAATCTCCCCTAATTTTCACACTTTTTTCACTCGCTTCTGCAAAACTCCAAAGACTGGAGTACGCGCTGACCTTTGCTTGCAACATCGCCTCGAACATTTTTAATCTTTCATCCCCTCTTACTGTAATTACTCTCTGCTTCCGGACCTTCCTTCAACCCCACCGCGGAGAGATGTTACACTGCGTTGGAACGACGCGAAAAAAACCGTTCAAAGGTGGAGTCGGACAACTTTTAGAGACCATTTAAAACAACGGCCCCGCGAAACGTTTGTTTTTTCGGTTAAATATTGTTTACTTAGCGGGTTTGACCGCTCCGACCTACTGCGGGATTACTGTAGGTTTTGTGTTCTACTCTGGGACTACTGTAGGATTTGATGACTATTTTGCCTACAGTGGAGCCTCTATACAACGAGCTGCCAGATACTGATTTGTTTAGAATTGATTCGTTATAGGAAGGTGTTGTTTTGCAGAGAGACTTATCATACCCTGAAATTGACTCTTAGGACCTAACAAATTGTTTGTTATAGAGAGATTTTGCTATAAAAAGATTTGATTTTATCAATCTTAGCGATTTTTCAACTACTTTTTGGAAAAATTCCCTTAGGGCATTTTGCACTGTGCAGCTTCTAAAAACAAGACCTAGATATTCCGAAAGAGCATGTGAAATTTGGTCAGAAAAATTTTTTATTTTGCTGCGGTATCGACCAAAAAAATCGACCGAAAAAATCGACTGAAAAAATCGACCGAAAAATCGACCGAAAAAATCGACCAAAAAATCGACCGAAAAAATCGACCAATTTTTTCCCCAATTTCTGTCAAATTTTTCGGACAAAATTCAAAGCTCAAAAATAGTCCGTTCACAAAGTCGCTGCATTGATTTTCGCGACATGCACGGTGCGAAAACAAAATTTCACTTTGCACTGTGCAATTTCTTGCTTTTCGCACCGTGCAAAAGGCTTTTTTCGGCTGTCGCTGGCGCCCTGTTTCTGCACAGTGCAAAGGCGAAAAAATCACTCCAGCGACTCCACGAACCGACTAGTACCTTCCAATTACACAAAAAAAAAGTTTTTTTTTCGTTTGACCCAAAGAATGTTTTTTTTTTGAAAATAATTTCTCGTCACCTATTCTTCCGATAAATCTCTTCTCGTTATTATCCACTGACCTCCAAAGTTCGAAAAAGTTGCGCCATTTCGCGGACCTGCGGGTTGATTGAAGGGGGGCGCGAACGGCGATTTCTGGTGACTGCTTTTTTGTTTACAACATCGAGAGTAAGGTTCGGTGGACCGCTTTTTTACAACTTTTCATGGGCGTTGGAGAGAGTTTGTAGCGGCAGATTTTGCAGTTTAAACCTTTTTACAGTTTGTCGGGAAAATAATGAGGAATTTCGCGGATCTTGTCGCTGATGTGAAAAGCGATTTTATTTTGTCGCGACAGTAAATCTTTTCATCGGCGATGTCATTTTCGCCGCGACAGAGTGCTCATTATTTTCCCGACAAAATTTTTTTGATTTTTTGGACCATTTTTTCTCGATTTTTCCCCGTGAATTTGCAATATTTTCCATACGATATTTTACAACGCCATTTTCAGCTTTTTGACTTGTGGTCCCACTGCATTAACTGCGACAACTCCCTCTCCAAAAATGTCAGAACTTCAACTACTTTTGCTCCTTTCAACACTCGCCTCTGCCGCCGCCTTCACCCTGAACGCCAAGGATTCGGAGCCGGTCATCTCGCACTCCGGCCCCACCAACGCCTTGTACGGGCATGAGAAATTCTTCGACGAACCGCTGGACCATGAGCAACGCGTGAAACGCGACGTCATGTACGGCTACGGCTACAACAACCAGTACAACAACAATGGCTGGCCAAATCTTCTGCTTTCCGCCGAACCCCCCACCGAGTACCACAAGGGATGGCTGACTGGCGAGCACAACCGCTACCGACGCATGGTCCCCGCCACCGACATGCGAATGATTTACTGGTCGGAGGAGTTGGCGAGGTCCGCGCAACGACATGCCGACCGCTGCGACTTCCGCCACTCCAGAGACCGTGTCAACGTCGGTGAGAACATCTGGGCCGCGCCCTACTCGAACTACTCGGATGCTGTGTTGCGCTGGTTCGATGAGGTGAACAACCCGCGGTGTGGGTGCTCGCAGGGCTACAAACATTGCTGTGGACATTATATTCAGGTGAGTTGAAGGGGGTATTTTTGGGCTACGTTCTTGGTAAGGTCTGTTTTTGAAAGGGACTAAAAAAATCGACTAGGTTACTTACTAGAGAGTCATTTCAAATATGAAAAATTAAAAAAAGTTTTTTTATGCCCTGAGGCATAATATTAGCTACTTGAAATTTTGACAATGTTAGCTAAAAAAACTAGGGCGCAGGTCGCCGAAGCTACGTCTAAGCCACCAAGATACGTTTTAGAGGGCCATTGCAGCTATAAAATACCAAAATTTTTTCATGCCCGAAGGCCTAATATTATCTATTTCAAAATTTGATGAAATTTAGCTAAAAAGTTAGGGCGCAGGTCGCCGAAACTATTTTTAAGCTTGCTTTCGGCCTGCTGCCGAGCTGCAAGCTGCACCCGGCCAACGGTTTGACGGTTTTCGAGCTGCGCCCTATAACTTTTTAGTTCTTTTTCCGTCATTATTGGTACCGTTGACACGAAGGGTATCTATGTGGACTCAAAAAAAAATGATCCAAATTTGCTTTACTGTCCCTTTAATGACAACAAAAAGCACTGTTCTTTTTGTCATCCTTTCCTCGAATTATCGATTGATTTCTCCCTTCGCCCTTTCGATTTGTCTCTCGCCGGAAGTCGTACATCTCCCCGCTGCACCGTTCGGACCATCTTTTTTTTGTTGACCGCACAATTCCTTCCGCTGATTCGAACGTCCTTCACCGAACCCATCCATCGGCGGGGGGATCCGTCGATGAAATGGGCGGAAGTGCGCTGCATCGGGATCGGGGGCAAAGGGGACGGGGCATTTGAACACGCCATTAAGCAAGTTTAATCCCTTAAAAATAAGGAAATAATCGCTGAAATCTGAGTGCCTCCTATTCCACTAAGACCCTAAGGCATCTCCATTAATTTTGCCAAAGTTGAGCCACTTATTCAACGAGTTACATTCAGTGAATTACAACATTTTCGGCAATTTACATCCATCACATTTACGCGCCTTTCCCCCCGCACTCAAGGCCGTCGGATTAGGAGAGCGACAACTTTACAACGGAAGTTCGTGTTGCTTTTTCTCTCTTCGCCTCCATTTTGCAGTGGACAAGGTGTGGAACCGGTTCCGTGGCGTCTGGAACCATCGCTCCTCCGTTGACGGATCGGCCGCCCTAAAAGAGCAAAAATTGCGGCGAAAGTGGGGTGACAAATGACCGGATGCGCCGGTGTACTCTGAGCTTGGGTCTTGGGGGATTAATAATGAAAAAAATCCATATTATTTTCCCGACGGACGGAGACTTGTTCGTCCGGAAAGTCGCTGGAGCGAGCTTTGGTGATTGCACGGTGCGGAAAAGTCGACAGTCCCCTGGCAAAACGTGTTGCTGCGACAAATCAACATTATTTTCCCGACAAACGGATAGTAGACTGTTTGGGAAGTAATTTTTCGAGATTGCACGGTGCAAAAAAAGCTTGGTGCAAGCAACAGCCGCCCCAAAAATGCCTGGAAAAACGTGTTGCTACGAAGAGATCCACATTATTTTCCCGACAGACGGTGACTAGACTGTTTGAAAGGTCGCTGGAGTGAGTTTTGGCGGTTGCACGGTGCAAAAAAAAGGCATAGAGCGACAGCCCGAAAAAAGGCTATTGCACGGTGCAAAAGCAAAATTGCACAGTGCAGGGAAATCCTCTGTATACTAAAAAAACCAAAAAACCCGAAAAATCAAAATTTACCCTCAGGCTATTCCGAGCAAACCTCTAAATCTCTCAATTTCAGCTGGTGTGGGCACGAACAACCCTGGTCGGCTGTGGATACGCCCGTTGCCGCGACGTGTGGGGAGTGCTGGGACGCGGGCACAGCAACGTCTTCGTCTGCCACTACAATCCACAAGGAAACACGGTATTCATTAATGGATACGGACAGCTTGTTGCGGTCAGTAGTTGCTCCGAATAACTTTGATTTTGTGTAAAATTACCGTAGGATTGAGGGCGCTAACAACTAGGGTCCACTAACATGAATAACAGTCTTTCCTAGAATGGTGAAACTACAGGGGAACCTCGGTACAACAAAAACCTATAACGAACAATTTTTCGGGTGCTAAGGTCATTTTTTTGCTGATCTCCGCACAATACCACCTTTTTACAACGTCACAATTTTTTGATCCCTTGCGATTTGTTGTACAGAGGTTTGACTGTAACGGTTCGATAAGAGGGTGATTAAGGAAGACTAAGCCCAAAAATGAAGTAGAAATTATCTACTAAGAACGTATATAGTACGTTCTTAGACCACCTTAACCAACACTAACGCCTAGGTGCTTTATGCAGAGTGCAGTGACTACTAATAACTAACATTAAGTCTCAATTCTTTACATCAGATCAATCGGGAAAATAATGTGGTTTTGTCGCAGCAATATCTCGCCTTGCAACAAATCTCCAGCCCTCACAAAACGATGATGGCCGATTCTAATCCACATAATTTTCCCGAAAACTGATATCTCTGACCCAGTCTTTTATAATCCCCTTATATCCTCCCTTTAACTATGGTTTGCGGTGTCATCTTCGCTATCATCGCGCTGTCCGAAAAAGATCCAAAAAACCGCAAAGATTGAAATAAGCCCTTGAGGCAATTTACTCGAATTATCATCGTTCTCCTGGCAAGGGAAGTCTACAAAACTTTATGAAAATCCCCCAACTTTCAAGACTTCCCTTGCCGGAACGAATAACTTCTAACCCTAAAAAAAGTGTGACTAATCTCCCTTTTCACTTCCTCACGCCCAAATTTAGCCATTTCAGGCTCCCGCCTTCACCTGGGCCTACAACGACAATCAGCGCTGCAGCCAGTGTCCGCCGGAGGCGCCCGCTTGCCACGAGGGCCTGTGCTACATGCCCGAGAACTATCGCGGAAACCAGACGACAGTGGCGAAGAGCAACGCCGACGTTGACGCCAAGAGCGGCCAGTGGAATAACAACCGGCTGGCGTAGAGTGTTGTGACTGGTCTCTTAGGTCGTGTAACTTATTTTTCTCCGCTTCAAATCCAAAGATCACCCTGAACTGGATGGGATTCGTCATTTTTCTCCGACTGTTCCTCATTTTCTACTGTAATTTCCAATTTTTTGCCCTCTTAAAACTAGTGACGTCATCCTCCACCTCTCCCTCATATCATACATCTCGTTTATAACAGGTCCTACTTAACTCTAAAATTCTCTGTAATCATCCAATATATAGCAAACTTCTCCACATATCACTACCAATTGTAAATACGAAAATCATTTTCATGACACTTTTTCATTACATCGCCCCGCATGTAACACGTCTTTTTGTGCAATCTTCTCATCCGAATCTATGGTCTACGGGCATTCCGCTGGCGACGGCGGCGACGGCCGGCATGCGTTTCTTTGTTTGTTGAAATTCACACAGTTCTCTGACATTTGAGAAGCCCTCTTTTTTGCTCTGCGTTTATCAATAAATATTGTGGAAAACAAGGAGGGGAGTTGTGAACCGATATAAAAATAGGAACGTATAAAAATAGTATAATACTTCTAATTAATCCTTGAGGTACTAAGGGCATTCGACCAGGTCATATAACTTCCGTCTCTGGATAGAACACTCCCCGGCGACAACTTTGCACCTAGTCGACTGTGGCTTACTTCCTTTCATCATCATCCACCTGGCATACTTGCTCCATCCATCCTTGACCCTTCAAGAAATCGAATTGTGCGAACTTGAATCTCACAGATATCTCTTGACTGATCTTTTCGACGTCTCTGAGGTCCGCCCGGTCTTCATAGAATATCTTTAACTTCATTCTGATGCTGTCTTAATCCATTAGATAATATGGCTATAGCCGTCTCACATCTCCCAGATCATTCCGTTCAGATGAATCGAATTGTCCACCTGTAAGAAACCGTGGCTTCTTACAGTTGCTGCTGTGTTGTCTTGTAGTATGAGTCCAAAATTATCTCCACGGTGTAGCTTTAGAATTTTATTCACCCGACGTTCAATTCACTTCAAAAAGGGTGCGATAAACAAATGGGAAAGACTTGGCCCGGCGACAGATTTGGTTCGCCTTTCTCTCGGCCTCACAAAATGATAGAAAAACTAATAAATTGTTAAAGAGTTACGACATTCGATCCGACTGATTCATTGTCATCGTTGGATCGAACACCACTACGAGTCGAACAACTGTGACATCGACTCCAAGAGTTTTTTTTCTCAATTCTTCACACACAACCGGACCACATTTGGGCCGCTTACCGGAATGATTCTATTATAGTCCGCTCAGATCCTCCGCTTCCTCTTTTCCGCTTTTGTGAGTCCATTCGAGTGGCCATAGAGAAAACATTCGGTCCTTTACTACACGATTTACTTACTTTCTCGACTACATTTATTACTAATAACACTTTTTAAATACCTCTGAATTCCCTCTACACGTAATCCCTCAATTTATGGCCTCGCTTTCTTGGCCACCCGCATCTGTAGCCATGATAACTTGCAGGCAACCTGACTCATCAGGGTAATTCCTGACATATGTCCTCGAAATCCGTTGACTCCCAACGATGCACTTGATATATGGCTTCAGCGGGTTGAGGAAGTGCGTTTGTGTCCTTGTGGAAATCGAAAGCGCTGCGGGCGGGCTGAAATTTTTATGGTTGCTGCCATCCGCTTTTTCGGTAATTTGGGGATTTATATACTCTGCCGGGAAAATAATGAGCACTCTGTCGCAACGAAAATCGCAAGGTCGAGAAAATTAATTGTGTCGCGACAAAACCAAATTTCTTTTTTCTTCAGTGACGCGATTTGCGCAGCGACAGAATGCTCATTATTTTCCCGACAGACTAATTTTCTAATCTTTTTTCGGGGATGAGGTAAAAATTTTGAGGTATAACAAGGACGGGGGCAGTAATACATATAGGTATATATTATTGATGTGCTTTTTATACGCCAAGGTGTAAGTTTTTTTCCGGCCACACGCGGCCCAAAAAACGGCTGGGCCTGCAAGTTGTACTGATAGGATTAACAGCCACTTGACTCCGCGCCCTTCCCGAGTTTCGGGGGTTTGCCCGCTGCGGGTGGCCCACAAACTGATGAGATTTTTGAGCCCTACGGCAATTAATAAGTTTAAAAAAAGTGAGAATTACTTTTTTGACCAATTTATAGTCCCATTTTTCCAAACAATGAAAATTTCGTATAAACACATATGTTACAAGGAAATATTTTCAATTGCCAGCGAATACGAAGCCCACCCTCGCGCTATTTGACAAGCCGTTTAAGCGGCAGCCCCTGCATGCGCGTCAGGTTGCGTCGCAGAAGTGCAACGGAATGCATGACAATGCGGGTGGCCAGATTAGTCGGAAATTTCACACCCAGAGGTGTGAAATTGGCGTTAGTCCATTTTCATGGGTTTTTTGGTTGCCGTGGAGACCAATGAGGGGATTACTGCATAAGCGAAACAATTTGGGCCGGAGTGGAGAAGTTTTTGCTTTAATTATCAGTTTGTCGGGGTAGTGTCACGACTTCGCGTGCGAATTTGCCTATTCCCACGGAATGACCGACAAAATAGTATAAAAGGAAGAGAAATCGCCAATTATTATGATTATTATTTTGTGTTTTGTTCTTTCCCGGTTGTGTCCAATAAAGTCTACTGTATTGTCTATTTGTCTATTGATTGGTCTATGGTCAGCTCTGGTGAAGTTGGTTCCCCAAGTATTGTGAGTTCATTTGTGACGTTGTTTCATTAGTATCGTTAGTCCTTTGCCATAGTACTGTCAGTCGTTTGTGCTTTGTATAGTATTATTTGGGCTTGGGATCAGAAATAGCAACTAGATTAGGGACCTTTATACACGTGTTCTCACTGAACTCGTGACAGCAGATACTTTATACGATTTTATTCAGCTCATTGCGGTTGAAAAGAAGTCGTAATACAGAGGCGACAACGACGCAGAGAAACAGTAACTTTATCAGATTTCGAATGTTGACATCGACCAAGCCAAACAACCGTAGGCGATAGATCTTTCGCTGAATTGAGCTGGCAAGGACTGGGAGGAATGCGTAAACCTAAAATTGGAATTTATTTTTAAAGAAATTTCCATCAGTCTGTCGGGAAAATAATGTGGATTCGTTGCGTCTTGGAATCGCTCATCGCTAAAAATTGGCTTACCCCGTCATGAAGAATTTTCCCACTGGCTGCAAGTTCTAAACACTCAATTTGCAGCCGTTTGAAAGCATGGCGGAAACTTGACACGAATAGAAATGGCAAAATAATGGATGCCAACGAAAATAACGCCAAATAAAGTCCAAATCCAAAGTCGATCCAGCTGGTTTGAAAGTTCACAGTGGAGAAAAGGTAAATAAAAAGGATCATGTTCGAGAGCAAGTTGAAGGTTTGGTAATAGCTGAAAATTCAGATGCGTTATAGTAAAACTATAGGCAGGTCAACAGGGGAAGTGTTCAAAGTGCGACGTTCAGATTTTCTTTAAACTTTGTATACAAATTAGGCATGTCCCACATAGGACTTCCTGAAAATTTCAGCTTGCACTTTCCAGGCTCAGCCGAGATATTCAACGATCTTTGCCGCCGAGAGAGTACACGAAATGTGGAGAGCGGTCAGAGAGAAAACGTTTTTGGCCGTATCTTTGTCTGTTCCGCATCGAAAAAATTGATTTTTTGTGGAAATGTAATATACTCCAGAAATAAGTATGAAACTTTTCAGTTCTCAAAAAGCTAAAAAATGAGGCACTTCTAACGTGCACTTTGGGTACTTCCCCTGTAAATCCCCGTTGCTCCATCAATATCAGCCTGTCGGGAAAATAATGACCGCAATGCCGCTGCTTCGATCGTCTTGCTGAAGTGAAAAGCAATTTGATTTTGCCGCGAAGACAATTCATTTTCTCGGCGGCGATGCGATTTTTGACGCGACAGAGCGCTCATTATTTTCCCGACAGACTGACGTACATATGTATACCATCATCAATACTCACCTCATAATGCTCTTTACTACCGTCCAAAGCCTCCAAAGATTGTGGTGAGCATGCGAATAATGAGTCACAACTGGCAGTTGAAAAGTGTTGAGATCCTCTCTGAATTCGTCCGCCAATTTTTCATATTCGGCGCAGATTATGAGAAAGTGAATGGAGATCACAGAAAGGCTGTTCATCAGTGCTGTGAGACAAAATAGAGTGCAAATAACCAGCAAGATAATGGGCAGTAGTCCTAATTTGTCTATGGGATCGTTGGCTAAAGGGGTGTCCACTTTGAAGGCGTGGAGCAGTTGAAAAGTCGAGGAGACCAGGATTGTGATGAAGATGAAGACTATTAGAGAGATCTGAAATGAATGAAAATGCATATGTGTATCGAGAAAAAAATTTAAAAAGCAGAAAGTATCAGTCTGTCGGGAAAATAATGAGCAATTTGTCGCATCCAAAGTCGCATCGCCGCCGAGAAAATGAATTGTCTTCGCGGCAAAATCAAATTGCTTTTCAATTCAGCGACGCTATCAGCGCATCAACATTGAGCTCATTATTTTCCCGACAGACTTACATAAAACGATGACTCAAGAAGATCTCAAAATTTGGCCTCAGGCGGAGAGACCGATAAATCGGCTGAACGAAGGCAAGTACCCCAAGTGCGACGTTTTTTTTAAAATTTTGCACACAAATTCAGCCTAGGCCGCGTTAATTTGGTAATTTGCCTCTCTTTTTGCGGGCCCAGCTGAGATATTGAACGATATTTTGCGGCCGAGAGAGTACCCGGAAGGCGGAGAGCGGCAAGGGAAAAACACTTTTTGACTATATCCTTGACAGTTTCGCATGGAAAAATTGATTTTTTGTGGAATAATTACCCTCTGCCGTGGAAATAGGCATGAAACTTTTCGTTCTGAAATTTTCGAAAAAAAATATAAAAATTTGGCCAACTTTTGGACTAAAAATCTCGTTATTTTTTGCATATCGCTAGCTGGAAGTCTGGCATATCTCGTAGAAAAACTTATTCTAAAATTGTGCCAAGTTTCATCAAAATCTGAGCGTCGAACTTGAAGCACTTCCACTTATCAAAAATTACAAATGATATTGATTTTCACTTACATTTGTCCTTTCGATCCTCTCCCTTGCATTGATAATCCCAGCTCCACATCCCGCATTTGTCAAGCGTCTCAAGAACCGCACTCGGTATCCATAGTAATTCCAGATGAGCAGAAAGATTGCAGCGACAAATCCCTGGACTCGAATCGCAAACAATGCAACGCTATTGCAGGACTGGCGCTGTAAAATTTTTAGTCATCAAAAGCATAACAAATCATATAAAAAAAAGGATTTTTGAAGTCAATTCTTGATGACTTACAAAGTCAATTGTTTTATGAAAGTACAGAGGCTCCAACACAATTACTAGACAAGTCAGCGACATGATCCCAAGAAGAATTACACAGTGAGCGCAATAAGTCAGTTTTCGGTACCATTTCCATTGACTCCAGGTGGTCTTGTCCAAGTCAAAGAGCTTGTTGATCAGGTATGTTGGGAGATACAGCCGTTCCAACTGCAAAAGTTTGATTTTTTTAATTGTTAGTTTGTCGGGAAAATAATGAGCATTCTGCCGCATCGAAAATCGCATAGTCGTCGAGAAAATGAATTGTGTCCCGGCAAAATCAAATTTCTTTTCATTTCATTTCAGCAATGCGATTGGTGCAGCGGCTTTGTGCTCATTATTTTCCCGACAGATGATATTTGCAAGGGAAGTGCATCAATTGTAATGTTTTAACACATTTTTGTACACCTATCTGGAGATGCGCATATAGCCTATCCGATGCAGAATTTGATGCTGATTCCAAAAATGAAAAAAAAATCCGAGAAAATTATTGAAAAAAATCGAGAAAATCGAGATTTTTTGATTGAGCATTGGCGTTACGGTATGTTACAGTAACCTGACAAACTTCGGGCCAATTACAAAGTTGCTCAGCATGGCCAATAACGTATACATACTCAGTTCTGAGATATTTCGGCAATAAATCAGTACAATGTATCACATTATGCGAAATTCAATAAATACGTCATATCTCGGTCATGATGACGAATTTTTCGAAAAAAATTCACCAAGTTCTTTAGCATCCTACATGTCATCAGTTAAGACAAAAAAAAGTGGGGGTCAATTTCTAGGGCAGACCCCCCAAATATGATAAATTTTTCGCAAATTTTGTCATTAAAAGTGTCATGCCTAATTCTACCGTAGAGGATAATGTTTGCCCAAAAAATCAATGTTTTTCCTCGGCTTCGAAGGTCGCCAAACATCTTTGTAGCAGGCCAAAGGCGCAAACTATAGAAAAGTGTAAAAGTTTTGATTCAAAAATAGCGGTTGTTTCTGCAAAGCGCGTGCCAGGAATATCAGATATCGTCTCATCGTCTTACTGTCTAAATTTCAGCTTTTTTCCCTCAAAATCTGAGCCTCGCATTTCGACAACTGCCTCTGTAAAAGCAAAAAAAAAATGCTGCTAAGAGTAACAAAGTAACTTCCTCTCGCCAATTTTTTTGACGTATTCGCTTTTGGATCGCGGTGAAACGATTTGCTGATCCGAGAGCGATGGGATTTACGCGTCGCGTGGATGCGTCTGACCTTTTTACGTAAAAAAAATGAATCTCAATTTGTTACAGTCCGCAACTCAAGAGAGCTCGTTGAAGGATCATATACGTATATCCTAAAGCCCAACCCGTTTTTTCGAACCGAGTCGGGTTCAGTTTGTATGCGATGATTGGGGAATTGGTTTTGATTTTTTATGAGGGGAAGTGTTCAATGTGCGACGTTCAGATTTTGATGAAACTTGGCACAAATTTAGAATAATTTTTTCTAAGGTATATGCGAGAATCCTAGCTCGCGCTTTGCAGAAACAACCGAGATTTTTAGATCGAAAGTTGGCGAAAATTTAGGACTTCTTGCCGAATTTCGGCACGAAAATTTTCATGCCCATTTCTACCGTAAAGAGTAATGTTTCCAAAAAAAGATCAAATTTTTCCGCACGAAACTGCCAAAGTTATGGCCAAAAAGCGTTTTTCTCTCTGACCGCTCTCCACGTTTAGCGTGCTATCTCGGCGGCGCCCGCAAAGCGCGAGCTAAAACTTTCAGGAATTGATATTTAGTCCATACCCGACGGGTGTGCAAAATTTATAGAAGATCTGAGCTTCGCAGTTGGAGTACTTCCCTTGTTAGAGGGGATTCTTAGCTTTTGCTTTGCAGAAACGACCGAAATTTTTAGACCAAAAATTGCGAAAAATAAGTTTTTTATGAATTTTGCAAGAAAAGATTCTTGCCTATTTTTTACTGTAGGGGTTAATGTTTCGCAAAGATTATCAGTATCTCGGCTACAACTATTTGAAAGCCCAAACTCAAACTTTTACAAATTGATATGTGGCCTATGCCCGAAGCGTGTGCAAAATTTTAAGAAAATATGAGCGTCGCACTTGGGGTACCTCGCATGTGAGGTAAGCTAAAGTGTTTCAGTCAAACGTGGCTTTTTATCAGTCTGTCGGGAAAATAATCTGGATTAGTCGCGCCTTGGAATCACCCATTGGCGACGCATAGTCTCGGCTGGAGGTTTTATGCGTACATTTTTTCCCAACTCCACATTATTTTTCCGACAGTTTGACATTGAAAAATCATGAAAGCCTCAGCGTCGCTCTTTGAGTACTTCCTCAAAATTAAAATGTCAAGTTTTTTCTTTTTTTTTATCAGTCTGTCGGGAAAATAATGAGCATTCTGTCGCATCGAATTTGGCTTTTTGCACTGTGAAATAGCTTTTTTGGCTGTAGTTTGCGCCCTGACTTTTCTGCACAGTGCATGTCGCAAAAATTACACCAGCAACTTCGGGCTAGCACAACGGAACGCAATGGACCAAAAAATTCGTTCATTTTATTAGAAGGGTTTTTTTTTCTTTTGCTTTTTCAGTCTGTCGGGAAAATAATGAGCACTCTGTCGCATCGAAAATCGCATCGATAAAGTGAATTGTGTCGCGGCAAAATCTAATTTCTTTTCACTTCAGCAACGCAATGGTTTCTGTGACAAATCCACATTATTTTCCCGACAGACTGTTTTTTTTTTTTTTTTTTTTTTTTAAGACTGATATACCAAGTTTATTTTTTTGGCTGTTTATCATTCATTGAACAGAATGATGAGTCATATATAACCTATGACTCTGTTATCTGTCATCGCAGCTGGCCCAGTCACCCATATTAGCATCTCCAGCTCTTGCACCTCACTTTATTACCCAATTTTTTGCTCCGCTTTTCTTCCCGATCGTATTCCAAAACACCGCCTGAAAAAAGGAAGGGGTCCTTTTGGGAATACGATCGCAGCGGCTGAAACTGGGCTACCTACAATTTGCAAGTGGTAGCCGGGAAAAGGAGGCTGCGGGCTTTATGAAGGGGTAATTAACTTCCCCCAAACAAGGTAAATCTTTGTTACGAACAGCCGCGGAGACTTATTATTATTGAAAGCGAAAACTTCGAGATTCTCGTACGAACCTTTCCGGTTCTTCCGCCACGTTCGAACTTGTTAATTTTTTGGGGCGAGTTTAATTGCCACAAATTTTGCAAAATTGCGAAAATTGGTAGAGGGTTTTGCCTCAACGTTTCGACTTGTTGAGTCGGCGTTGAAATGGTTTGAACTAATTTTTTTGTAGTCTAACTTTTTGATTTTACTTTTTTTTCACGTTTTACTGTAGTTACTGTCTATTTACCACTGTTTTTTTGTATTTTCATAAAGTGCGTAGACTTTTTTTGTCACTGCGCACAGTGAATTTTGCCTCTTTTTTCGCACAGTGCAATGTTTCTTTTGCACCGTGCAAACATTTTTTTATGTCATTTTGCACTGTGCAATTGTCGCAAGCGCCCGCAAATGTGCAAGGCGGCTCCGCACCGTGCATTTTAAAGCTTGCACCGTGCAAGCCTTTTTCAACAGCGTCGCCACGAATTTTATGTACGCGACAGACAATTGCACAGTGCGAAATGGTTCGAACTTCGAAATGGTCCGTGCACTGTGCGAAAAGCCGCAAAATGCGCTGTGCGGCGCGACAAAAAATCTACGCACTTTTTTAAAAACCTAACATATGAAGGACTCTCAGTTTGTCGGGAAAATAATGAGCATGTTGCACCAATCCCGTCGCTGAAGTGAAAAGAAATTTTATTTTGCCGCGACACAAGTCATTTTCTCGGCGGCGATGCGGTTTTCTCTGCGACAGCCGGGAAAATAGTCTGTCGGGAAAATAGTGTGGATTTGTCGCAGAAAAATGTTATCAAAACTAGCCCTGAAAATATCAGAACCATCCTGATATTTTCAAAATTGAAGTCGATTTGCATCAATGACAACTTCTATATACGAAGGTAACGAAGGAAACGACTCGAACTTTTTAGTATTTACTTTTCCAGAAATGTTTTTCGACTTGTCAGCTCTCTTCATTTTCCCTACTCTCTCGTCCAAAAAACACTTTTCTATTTACTTTATTTAGTTCGTGAAGGTTCGAGCAACGAACCGTGAAAGGTTCGTTGTTCTCCGGTTACTCATTACTTTTAAAAGTGCGCTCTACTCTTTATTAAACAGCTCTTGAACTTATTAATTCTCCCACTTAATTCCCCCGCCATTCTCAAGGCCGCCGCGGTAAGAACGTTGAGTGAAAGAAAGAGTGTTCTGACTCACGTCTTACTCTGGGCCCCAACAAACGTTGAGTGGGTTTTTCACGGGGGGTAGTTGCATTTTGTTGGGTTGTAACTTCAAAAAGTTATTTTAAGGCTGGTCGTTTCGAGAATTTGAAAAAAATTTCTTTTTTATTTACTGAAAAAGCTTTTATTTTCGCGCAGAGTGGAGGATGGCGATATTGGCGGGCATTGCGAAGCGCAAACACTCTTTTCAGAAACTACGCGGACTTTTTTCGCTTTATCGCGAACGCACAGTGCATTTTGCTGATTTTTGCACAGTGCAAATTTGACAAGGAAAGTACTTTTATGGGGGCTCCTACATTTTGACGGGAAATATCTCAAAAAATCAGGAAAAATGTGCTGATCAAGGATATATAAATCTTAGCTGCTCATTTTAGGTTTTTAGGGGTGAAAACTCAATCGGAAGTTGACTTAAAGTCCTATATGAACCCCTTTTCGCTTAATTTTTCACAAGTTTACAATTTTTATTTTGGCTTAAAATGATGTTTATTGAGTTTCTAAGACGTAATAAATCAGTCTTGGCACAAAAATTTATTTTTCCGACCTTCAACTTTAAAAAAAGTTGATTCGGCCCAAAAGGGAAATCGAACCCGTGCGGCGTTCGCCCTCATGATTCCCAGACTACGGCACTAGCCACTCGGCCACACCGCTCTCTGCAGTAGGAAGAGACCGACTGCGCTTTTTATCGTTTCGAGTGCCTGCGCCTTTTGTAGGGAAATTAAGCCAGTTTTTGGGCATTTTCACCCCTAAAAACCTAAAATGGGCAGCTAAGATTTATATATCCTTGATCAGCACATTTTTTCTGATTTTTTGAGATATGTCCCGTCAAAAAGTAGGAGCCCCCATAAAAGTACTTTCCTTGTGAAAAAAGCAGGTTTGCGCAGTGAAATGCGTTTTGGTGCACTGTGCAAAATGAAAAATTGTACGGTGCAAATTGGGGTGTGTACCGTGCATTTTGCATGCACTATACGAAATTACCAGTAGGCTTTTTGTCGCAAAAAATTTTCGCACTGTGCACTTCACCTTTTGCACTAGGCAATTCGAAAACGGCCGGGACGTAGGATTTTGCCAAATGCGTCGCACGTCAAGATTTTGCGCTCAAAGGGTTATCTTCCAACACGAAAGTTGGCATTCTGTTCCCGCTTATGAAAGTGTCCAAAAAATCCGTCTCAATTACGGTTTTTTTGGATGAAGTCAGAGGAAAGGCGAAATATTGCGCAAAATGAAGAGATTTTCTATCTCGAAACTGGCTCATTTGATTTTTTTCGTTTTAGGCTG